CACCAACACCAACAACAACAACAACAACAACAACAACAACACCAACAACACCAACAACACCAACACCACCAACACCACCAACAACAACAACAACACCAACAACACCAACAACACCAACAACACCAACACCACCAACAACAACAACAACAACAACAACAACAACAACAACAACAACAAGAACAAGAACAAGAACAATAACAAGAACAAGAACAGCAGCAGCAACAGCAACCAACACCAACACCTACACCAACACCAACACCACCACCAACAACAACACCGCCGCCGCCACCACCACCACCACCACCACCACCACCACCACCACCAATAACAACACCAACAACAGCAACAGCAACAGCAACAGCAACAACAACAACAGCAGCAGCAGCAACAGCAATGGCAACATTAACGGCAACAACAGCAACATCAACATCGACAGCAGCAGCAGCAGCAGCAGCAGCAGCAGCAGCAGCAGCAACAAAAAAACAAATAACAATATCAACAACGATGTTGATAATAGCAAAAATACTACAACTACAAGTACAAGCGGAACCAAACTACACCAACAACTATGACGACGAGGACGACGACTTAGAGCTTTTTGAAACACACATGTGCTGCTTACATCTCTACTGGCAGAAAAGTTGTAAGCCTGCTAAGCATAGCACTCGGCATCGCATAATATCGTGGCCTTTGGTACAGTTTACCCCCGAGCTCCAAACTCAACCTCAAAGCCCACAAGTCTTAACCCTCAGTCCCGTCATACGTGCTCTGCCTAAACCCTTATTTTGCTGCACCCTACACCCTACTACACCCCGCTCACCGTAGAAGCCCAGAGCCATCCATTGCTCAAGTTGATATTCAACCCAAGCTTATCGGTGCAGGGTTTAGGGTTTTGGCCTTAGGGTCTAGGGAGTTTAGGGTTTACCCGAAGCTTCTCATGCTGCTCCTGCCTCAGTCATGCCATACGCTGGAGTCACTGCACAGTGGAAAGTCTCCTGAGAGGGGCTCTACATGGTTTCTTTAGCCAGGTTCTGGCAGGACTTTGAGGTTCTAAACCAAGCGGGTCTTGCTAGAACTTCAACACCTCCTTATACCTTCTTTTGCTGGGAGTTGTAGACGGTCTTCATGATCTGAGGCGATCAGAACAACAGGCGGGGACCTACGTGTTACTAAGTTACAGGATCTCGGTGTCTCGGTCCTGGATCGCCTGTAACCTGGGATGAAAACTACAACAAGCGCTTAGGGTTTAGAGTTTAGGCTTTAGGGTTGGTATTGGGTAGCCTTTGTGATGAAGCAGCCCGACGCGCTAAAGTCAAGGGCCAAATGATATCACCCAAAGCACGCCCCGACGCCAACCACCAAATGGACCCCATCGCCACCCGTGATTGCTATCAGAATTGCAGAATTGAACCGGAAGTTTCATCGGCATATGCGTGAACAGATCTTCTGGCGACGACGGCGACGACGTCTCTTCGTATATACACACGAACCAATACACAGAATTATGCAAACACACACACACACATACATACATACATACATACATACATACATACATACATACATACATATATACATATATATATATATGTATACAAATGTGTACTATATATGTACATAAGTACAATGTTACATACACACACACACACACGCATATATATATATATATGGGTGGTTGTCAAAATTATGGTCCCTTTTGGGCTACCCTAAATAATAGGTGCCGTATTATAATAAGGACCCAAAAAGGGACCATAATTTTGACAGCCACCCATATGCATGAGTATCCACATATACCAATGTGTATATTATATGTGAATATATATATATATATGTAGAGAGAGAGAGAGACATTGCGTTTTGGTTCTTCGCGATAACCTTTTATACATACACAGATTTGTAGACCTGTATGTGTGTATATTTGCATGCATGGATGCCTGCCGGCCTGCGACTCGATAGATGGATGGATGGATGGATGGATGGATGGATGGATAGAAGGACGGATGTGTGTGCGTGTGTGTGTGTGTGTGTGCCTGTGTCTGTCTTAACGTCTGTGTGTATGTATGTGTATATGTGTTTATGTATGTAGGCATGTATGTATGCATGCGTGCGTGCTTGTATGAGGCGTGTCTTGCGAGATATGCAGTGCATGTGCGTACGTATGCTTGTCTGTATCTTTATGGGTGCATTCAAGAAATGCATGCAGGTACGCCAGCACATAGCTATGTAGGTCGCGCGTGTGTGTGTGTGTATGTATGTATGCATGCATGTATGTATGTATGTATGTATGCATGTGTGTACGTATAGGGGCCTATGCGTGTATGTATGTATGTATGTATGTATGTATGTATGTATGTGTGAACACATGTATGTGTGCATGTATGTATGAATGAATGTACGTAAGCATCATGTATGTATGTATGCATGCATGTATGTATGCATGTGTGAATACATGTATGTGTGCATGTATGCATGTATGCATACATGTATGTATGTAAGCATGAATACCTACATACATACATACATACATACATACATACATACATACATACATATGTGAGTACATACATACATACATACATACGTACATACATACATACATACATACATACGTACATACATACAGTACATACTTACAACATACCTACATACATAAACACATACATAGCTACATACATGACTCATACATAACTACAAACATGACTACATACATACAAACAAGCATACATGCATACCATGTATACCGATGCTCACTTACACATATACGTACACACATGCATATGTAAATACGTTCATACATACATACATACATACATGCATGTATGCATGCATGCATGCATGGGCACAGACATACACCCACATACATACGTACTCGTACAGTCTCATCTACACATACACACACATACTCACAGA